GGGTCTCTTGTCCCAGGACTCCAGGAGAAGTCACGTCCTTCCTCTGGGCATAAGCTTCTTCTGCAAAACAGGGGCCAGGCTCCGGCTTTGCCAAGGGTGCTTTAGGCATCCCCAGCGGGGTCTGTGACCTTCATCTAACGTCCCGCAGTGCTCAGCCCCTTCTGACTCCAGTGACTTGGCCAGCTCTCCCGGGCTGGACTCCACAGGCCCCTCCCTGTTTGTGGCATCCTCATTTTTCACCTAAGAAGTTTTATCTTTAGTCCCGTGTGGCTGGAGTCTAGGGAAGGGAGGGGCTGAGGCAGGGTGCAGGGCCTGCCCCCTTCATCCCTGGATAGGCCCTCTGTATTATTTGGCTCTCCTGTCACCCCTGCCCTCTGACAGCTTCTGTGGGGGGATGTTAATTCCTCATTGTTACCCTTGTCAAGATGGGGCTCCTCCATAGTTCTCCCGTGCCTTTCTCCGCAAGTCTCCTGTTTTGCATTTCTATGGTGGGCTTCCTCCTTCCTGATGTAATGATTACTCTGTCTCTCTGATAACAGACACACACACACATGCACAGACGCGCACACACACCCTTTGATATTTCCCTAAGATGCTTCTCTGAGGAGGGCGAAGAGGTGAGGCTCGGGGGGCTTTAATGAGGCAGGCGTTTTTCACAGAGGGCTGGGGGAGAGTCCGGAGAGAGTCATTAGGACCAGGATCAAGGAAGTCAATGGGGCCACTACCCCTGACGGGCTTTAAGTAGTACCCACTTCTTTTCTGATTAAAATATAATACATATTCATTATAAGAAAATCAGAAAATTTAGAAAAGCAGAAATAAGAAAATAAAAATTATCTGTAATCCAATCAACAAGAGATAGAAAGTTAATATTTTGGTACACGTCGTGCTATTCCTTCTTGTCTCTTCTGTGGAGGAGGGGCAAGATCAGCCTTCCTCCGTGGTTTTATATGCTTTTTTTTTTTTCGCTTCATACTACAAGAGCTTTTATGCTGTGTCATTACATCACTGTCAAAAGCACCATTTTAAGGACTATATAATACTCCCTTCTATGGAAAGGCTGAGATAGACCTCCCAGAGAGCCCAGAACCCTAAGATGCGACAGCTGGCCCTGCCTAGTGTTTCCATAAAAACCTCATGAGGCAGAAGACGAACCTCTCTCACTGGGGATGCATTTTCCTACCTTACTTCGCAGTCAGGAAGAGCTTCCCCACCCCCACCTCCATGCCTGTGTGCCCTACCTTAACATGGATTTTTGCCAGCCCCACATGTGGTAACACAAGCGACCTTTCAAGCTCTAATTCCATCACACCCAACACAGGAGCACCGCTCCTCAAAAAACCTCCCAAAATGAAGGGAGAGAAGGAGGCAGGTATGGAAATATGCAGAAAAAGTGGTTAGGGCACCACATGTCGTGTCTTAAGCTCCAAGCAAAATCATGTGGTAGCAGAAAACTTATCAATAAATTCTTTTTTTGTCTTGGATTGTCCATGATAAATGACCACACTCAGCATCAATAATTGCAACCGTACCTGGGAAAGAGATATACCCACAAGCCCACCACTCCTGCTGAAAGCAGTGGACTGAATTCAGTTTCAGGTTTGAAGGCAAATTTCACTGCCCTAAGGAAAATTACCTTAGAGAGCTGCCATCACCATATATGCAATCAAAGTAAGACTACTGCAGCTAAAGTGGGGGCATGTTTCCCCAGGTTATAAAAGATCTCAAGGTACTGCAGGGTAAAGAATTCTGTTCTTAAGTCCAGATCTTTTGAAACAATAAGCTTGATCTTAATGGGTTCCTGCCAAGAAATACAACCTCCCTGGAGGATCAGAGTATTTTCTGGTCAATCGGAACTTGCCATTGCTCTCAGAAAAAAAAATCCTAGCAAGGCAAGCCAAGGGCAAAGAGTAGTAACAGGTTGGGGAGAAGAGATAGTAGCACTGGAGAGCCCACGTCTAATTGTAATAATATGTCTACACTTGGGTGAAATTCAGCAAGACAGAAAATTTGGAAACACATGCAAGATGAATACCAGTGTGTGTCTCAGTTACTGCCCATGGAACCTGCTTTACTCTGCTTGCAGAAAGCAGTGGAACCATGCGTTCTAGGAAAATAATGAGACATGGGAAGTGGGAGACAGGGACACAGGGAGAGAGAGGAGAAGGGGAGCAGCATAGATATTCAGTACGAAAAGCTAATCCCTATGAATCAACATCAGCCAAGGCTGATGCACACGCATGTAATGCATGAAAAGGAAACTCCACAAAGAGCTCATTGTTCTGAATGCAGGGGGGAACCTGGATGTTCAGTCCTTTACTACAAAAGGTTCATAGGAAAAAAGAGGAGGAGACCCCGTAGCTAGCTTTGGGATCAACTAGTTTGGCATTTACAAGGTTTCCACATCCATGAATTTGTCACTGCTGTGGAATTTCTTTTCCCTTGGCATAGAACGGTTAGAGTGATGAGTGGTCACATAAAGCACAATATAAATTTTTATTATTATCGGATGGTGCTGTGGCTGGAACTGAACTGTTCTGCATGGAGGTTTTCAGACATATTATAATTACATTCTGTAGGTTTGCAAATAATGACATAACCCAGTCACCTTACTGTGGGTATGATTTATTACAAATAACAAAATGTTATTATATGGAAATTAGCTTCCACACAACAGCTGACTAGAGGGGAATGCTTCAGAGCCACCTTAATCACTAAGACGGGATCCGTAGTGTTTCAGTACCTGGGACAGCGCCACAGGGCCTCAGTCCCCTTACTTGCCAAAAGACCTACTTTCTCCGCATTTTGCCCCATTTACTAGCATGACTGAGAGGTGACATTGGATCCAGCCCTATATTTTGGTCGCTACTGCAAGGATAGACCTGGAGGAAGGTGTGCACCGTGGGCAGCTAGGACCAGCCGAGGCCTGTCAGCCTGGGAGGAGCGGCTGTGGATCACTTTGATTTTGCTTTTGGGTGCTGCCTTCTGTCCTCCTCTTCTCGCAGGTTAAATGTTTCTTCTCTAAACTGAAAACTGCCAACCATTCACAAACTCAATTTCTTTTTTGCATCTTTGGGAATATTGTCATTATTGAAAAAAAGAAAAAGATGTCAACTGAAGACACATTGTGCCTTGGCATATTGAGCACACAGGACATTGTGTGTAGCCCTATCCATAAACAGAGGCCAGGCCCTGTAGGGGGGATACAAAAAAATACATAGTGAAGAAGTAAAACGCTTATTGGTCATTTAACTTTTTAGCATTTTCTCCCAACAGGGTGGAATGTCACTGCTTATACCAGAAAGCAGGATACGACGCTTTCAAACATTGCCTCCAACTCTCCTCTCTCCCACATATGCTTACGCAATCTGGGATAGTAACAGATCTACTATCTTGGTCATTTGCTGAGCTTTTCCAAGAGGATTACCTTCTGGTATAATGTATTTTTACAAGGTAAACATAAAAATATAAGTTTTTATAGAACTTTTTTCCCACAGCCTATGGGTAGAACTTATTACCCCATTTAGCTGAAAAGTAGGAATCAGTTCAGGGACTTGCTCAAAATTGAGGGGCCAACGAAGGATTAGAACTTGGTGTCCTAATATCCCAACCCCAGATATATCCTGCCATATATGGGTGTCTAGGGTGGTCTGGGAGATGGCAGCCACCCAAAGTGCAGCTCTAGAAACCAGGCTGAATCGGGTTGGGCTCCAGTCTGCTTGCTCCCCCCCTTGGGGCTGCTTGACTCAATGGAGCAATTCTGGCTGTTTGGTCTCTATCTACACACCCAGGCCCAACAAAAGTGATCTAATCTCTTATTCCCCAAACACGAACTACAAACATCTGTTAGCCCTTGTCTATGTAATTCCAGGGTTGGGGTGGGAGTAGGGGAAGCAGTTCCCCCCACGGAGGAAGGGGGGCAGGGAGGCACTTTGTGTGACAAGTGGGAGCAGAGCCAACCTTCACTACAGCACCCTGGATACTCAGTTCCACAGAACCCAAAGCATGTTTGTCATTATCTCAAAATCGGGCTGAATTTCTTTGGCTTAGACTGATTAAGAGCTCTGAGAGCTCTGAGGAAGCCTTCTGACTATCCCATTTTGGAGCAGGGTTTCTGGTGTTGCCTTTTTTTGACATTGGTGCCCACATTTTCAGAAGGATAAGTGCATGAAAGACCTGAACATTTAAAAACAGTCCCTCTGACATTTAATGACACTGATGGAACTAGAGTTGTCACTCAGATATCATGCAGATCTCAGCACTAGTTTGCTTTCAATAATTAGAGAATTTCTGGCCAATGAACGAAACATTTTCTTCCAGCTTGGGGCAAACTTCTAGGTGTGGCTGCAAAGCCAGAAACCTTTTGTTAGGACCTCACAGGTGAATTCCTCCACTTTTTGCCCCATTTCTTAGCATGACCGAGGAGGTGACATGGGATCCAGCCCTTTAATTTGGTTGCTGCTGGAAATGGGGCCTCCCCTTCATACCCAGGCCCCTGGATGCCCCAGGTTAGCTCTGGTCCCTACTCTTCCCTCTCCCTGGGGTGCTAGTGGTGGGAGGGGGCTTTCCGAATGGTTTCCCCCAATCGAAAGTCTTCAGTGGCTTATTACCTAGACTCATAGAACTATAGAGTGAGCCCTTAGAGAACTTCAGGTGTTGGATATTTTTCTTTGGAGTATGGATGCCTTTCTCTAAAAGGAACTGCTGGGTGTTAAATGGGTGAAAAAGGTGATACTATGGTAAAGGCCCTGTGAGGGGTTCAGAGCCCTTTCTCTGCCCAGCAGCACTGTCCTGTCCTGACCTCTCCTGTCCTGTCCTCCCCTCTCCTCTGCACACCATGTGAGCGGCTCACTGTGTTCTTCCCAAGCCTTCTCCCCACAACACAAACAACTGCCACCACCCCCTGCTTTTCTCATCAAAACGGGCTCCGATCCAGGATTCAACCCAGGCAGGGCTGCAGGACCCTGGTTCTGGTTTGGATCAGAGGGTTTCCAGCAGGGACAGAAAATGGGCACGCAACACACGCAGATGCACACAGACCGACAGTGTTTGGTGTCTGACAGGCACTCAGGCCCAGCTTAGGGTCTAGGACTGATCGCTGCTGCCCTGACCCCAGGAGAGCACCGGGTAAGTGGCACATTAACACATGAAGGGGAATGGCAGAGTGCAAAGGGCAGGGCCCGCTTCTGCATCAGAAAGTTGGGTCTGCCAAGGTGTGCCATCTGGGCGAGTTACTTTGCTTCTTTATGCCTCATTTTCGTTATCTGCAAACATGGCGGGTATGCCGATAGAGCCTACGTCATAAGGATACAGTGTGAAGTGGATGCGCTTACTCTGAGAACAAGCAATGATTCAGGAAAGTCCTTAAATGAAGGGAGCATTCGGTAAGTTCTGGCCGTTTCTACCATTGACCACCCTCACATTTTCCGGGGGCTGGTCTGTGGGCCCGGCCCCGCCAGGGCCGTGCCAGAGCTCCTGGAGGGTGGGCTGGGCCAGGGCTCCCTGCAGCAGAGGGAGGGCGTTTATTGCCTTGTTCTTTGCAGCCCCTCCCTTCTCTTCCCCAGCCTGGCCGGCCAAGCGGGAACATCTTGCAGGCACGTGACAGCCTCTCTCCGCTGAGCTGCGATGCGTAAAGGGGTTCACAGGCGCAGAGCCGCCTCTCACTGTGGATCGTGGTGGGGAGTGGATGCCCACTGTCCCCTCGCAGCTGTGTGCTAGGAGGCCCAGCCCGCGAGAGGAAATGCCCGCTTCCCTCTCCCTCTGGCTCTGGGTCCCACTGGCCGCCCTGAGCCCGCCCCTCCCCGAGCCACAGGAGCTCCTCGGCTCTCTGCTCCCTTCCTTCCCCGCAGGAGGAGGGAGAAGGGGGGTCTGAGCCACCACATCAGGCAGTGACAATTAAACCCATTCAGAGCTGAGTCATTTGCATGCAACTCCTCAACAGGCGCAGAACACTCAACCTGTCATTTTCTCCTGGCATTGCTGGTAACTGTGCCATGCGGCTGTGGAGATGGCAGCTTCCTTTCCTGGGCACTGCCAGGCAGGGAGAAGGTGACGGATGAAGGGCCTGGAACCTTGCCTTTTGTCCTCCTAGCCTCTGCAGAGGCCAGGAGGCCGGAGCTAGAGGAGGAGGTGGAGTGGGGACAAGGCGATAAGAGCCCATGGACCCAGTTACGCTTGGACAGTGGGAGGGTCTCCGGAGGCAGCAGGGACGGCAGGAATCATCTGAGGGTAGTGCCCACCTCCTCAGCTGGAATTTATTGAACGAGATTATCTCTTGATAAGTACCAAAAGCCACCATTTCGCTGTGCACCCACAGAGCAGGCCCCGCTGCAGCTGCTCCTTCAAAGGCACTCCAGCTGTCCCCCGCCCCCCCCCCCACTGCTTCTCCCCTCTGCCCCTCCCCCACCTCCAGCTCTAAATAAACCACAGTAAATCCCAACACTGTGGAGCCTGGTTGTGCTGGTCCAGCATTTCTGGTCTCAGAAACAGAGAAATAGAAAGAGGCAAAGACACAGGATCTCACATTGATTCCCCAGCCCCGGCTCACAACCCCTTCCCAGCGGCCATGAAATCTGGGTTCAGAGGCCTTCTCCCCAGGGCCAGGGGCAGAATGGGCAGACGCTCTTCAGCAGGGAGACAGACTCCTTAACCTTCTGCGGGTAAGTGGGCCCAACTGTGACGCCGACATCAGGTCTAACCCACATTCAGTTCAAGCAGGCGGTACCATTAGGAAAGATCCAGAAGCCTTTTATCATCCAAGACCCTCTTCCGTGTCCACTACGATCTGAAACCCCACTATTCATGTTTTATTCCTTTCACTTCAACCTTTGATCCTGGTTTAAATGCAAATAACCCTGAGACAGGCTACATGATAAAATGTTATTTACTCCTTAGTGAGCATAAAGCTCTCCAGCCTTTTCCGAGAATAAGTACTGATTATTGAGGAAGAGAGGGAGACATGAGGATATCATACCCTGGAGTGGGGGGGAGCGGGTTTCACTGGCAGGAGGGAAAATGCAGAGCAAAGCACCTGCATTGGGAGTCCAGCCTCCTTTATGTTTTTTCCCCAGGGCCTGTTCTGACGCACTGTGGCCTGGGATGGGTAGATCTGGGCACACTGGGGTCCAAGCCTACCCCACTGAGTGCTGCCTATCCTGAGTTTAGGTGCTGGGATAGCAAGGCCCCATGTTCAGCCCCTGCAGTGGAGCTGGGAGGGTTACCTTTCAGTCTGACTACATCCTGTGCTGCTGTGATGAGGTTACATGCCCCCAAAGTCCAAGATTGTTTCTTTTCTCAAGGCAGGGATCTATCCAAAGGACAACTGTGTCTCCTGCCTCTGTGTCCACCGTAGAATCAGTAGCCCTAACTGAGCACGGTAGCTAAGCGCCCTGGGATCAGGCATATTTGAATCTTCACTCTGTCACGTGCCATGTGACAGTGGGCAAGGTAACCCCCTGAGGCCACAGTTCCTTCACCTGTAAAATGGTGATAGACAGCTATCTATGTCAAAACTTGCTGTGAAGATTAAGTGAGATAATGATAGAAGGCGCCCAGCACAGTGCCTGCCACACTAAACACTCGTGTTTGCTACTTAATTTTATTATGTCCTAAAGCATGAGGGTGACACCGCAGAATTCATTCTGAAGGAAGATTTTTCAATTCAAAGGGGAGACCAACTCCTCTTTTCCAGCAAAGAGTAATGGTAGAATCATTTGGGGTAAGGAAGGTTACTCCATAGAGAGGGCAAACCTTTAGAGAGAAACAGAAAAATGTAGGCGATTTCCTGAATGACCTTGAAGACCCAGATATTTGTAAGAATGTCCAACACTATTATTACCAACAGCAGATTCAACACCAAGCATCTGCCATGTGCCAGGAATCGTGCCAAATACCTTAGTCATGATCCTTAAAATGACACTTCAAGGGAAGTCATGATTATCCCCATTTACTCATGAGGAAGCTCAGATGAGCAGGTGACTTGGCCAGGGCCCCACTGCTGGGCACTGGCAGGGCTGGTGTTCAAATCCATGCCTGTCAGCCCAAAGTCCACGGCCTTCTCCTCAGCAGGCTGCCTTCCGTGCCCTGGCATTACCAGAGCACACGCTCCTTGCAGGTAAGCCGAGCTTCTCCTTCATCTTCAGGGGCTCCAGCACCCATGGCATGTGCTGAGTGCGTGACAGTGAGTCGAACATCTGGTACATAAATCTATTTCATACCCAGGGTGGAGAGGCGCTGTGCATGGCTGCAGCACCAGAGCTCTGTCACTGTGAGAGGGGACACTGCAGTGGCCGCGCTTCTGAGCTGATTCCCGGCACCAGGGCTTCTTCCTGGGTTTGGCTGCTGCACAGAAACCTCCCTGCCTCCTGGGGCCCTCCCTGCCCTCCTCCACCAAGGCCTCTGTTAAATCGCAAGGAACAACAGAGGCCCCACCTTGGAGGGCCCTGCTCATGAATAATGAGCCCACACCAGGTTCTGTTCTTTTGAAGGAATTCTCTCTCGCTGGTGGAGCTGCGTGGCAAGGCGGCCGGTGGGCTCATTACCGCGGTTGTTTATTTATTCATGCTCACATGGGGTGGGCCAAGCCCCTTCACAGACAGGCATCTTTCCTCTCATTGAATCTGCTCTCCGCCCTGCCCTCCTTCCAGCGGCAGCTTCTCCCTGAGGCTCCCGTGGAAGATCAGGTAGGAAGCCAAACAGCTCGATTGTCCCAGGAGCCGGGGATGGAGGAGCCAGAGCCGGAAATGGGAGATCTCTCCTATGCCAGTCTGCCTGCCCATGCCTCCCTGGCAACCAGACTTGTCTGGGATCCAGGGCTTCCTGCCATGGCGACGTGAGGCAGGTGCTCTGGGGACTGCCACTGCCTGGCCTGTGGCACAGGGTGTCCATTGGCTGTGGGCTCGTGGCGGGGGAGGGGGCTGATCAGAGGGGCTCTTCTAGATGGAGCCCGCAGCAGCTGAACAGCACCCTCTTCCTTCTGTTCCATCCTCCCAGGTTTAGATCCACACGACCCTCTGCCCACCTGTGCCCCTACCTCCACACCATGGCTCCTCTCCTGAGGCTCAGCTCAGGCCTCCCACATCCGGGCACCTATGCCCATTGCCGGCTCAGAGAGCTTCTCTCTGCACAAGCACAGAGCCCCCTTGCCATGCACAGAGCCACAGGATACCCAGCACAGCCTGGAATGCAAAGACGAGGCAGAAATGGAAAGGCACTTAAGTGGAGGCCCTCGGCCAACGTGCATTTACCCTGCCACCTGGCGTCTTTTAGTCCTGGGCACATGGAGCCTGTCTCTGTTGGACTGGATTTCTCCATTAGGTCAGAGTGGTCTGCACTGGGAGGAGGAAGGTGCTAGAGGAGGGGCTGGTTGGACAAGTGACAGAGGGGTCTAGGGTGATGGGGAGAGATGAGGTCAGGGCAGGGGCTTCTGCCACGGTTCAAGCTGTCTGGTGGGTGCGGGCCTCCTGCCCCAGGGGACACAGCACTGTGCAGGAGCCAGGCAGACATGGATTTGAACCCTGGTTCGGGCTCTTTCTAGCAGTGCCATCGTGGGGGTGTGCGGGGGGCTGTCACTTAACCTCCTTGAGCCCTAGTTTCGTCCTCTGTCAGCAGGGCCAACCCCGCCTCCTGGTGGGTGGTTGTGTGGGTTGGCAGCTGTGTGCGTGCTGCACTTCGCCCAGGGCCTGGAGAGCCTCAGGATGCAGCTATCATCTCATCATCTCCCTCCAGTCTGAGTGTCCCCTTTGTGTCAGGGGAGAACAAGGCTGACCTCTTCTGCTGGGCACGCGGGCCACTGTTCTCTAAGAGGTCTCAGTATTGCTGCGATGACTGCTCGCTGAGTTCTCACGTTTGCCGGGGGCTGGGGGCTCCCACCCAGTCTTCTTTCCTCCCTCCTGAGATGTCCCTGTGAGTGAACTCAGCAGTCCAGAGGGAACCTTCTGCTCCTTCTGCAGCCTCCAGCTCCCAGAGGGGATCTCCCTTTGCTCCTCCTGCAGAAGGTGGCACAGTCTTTGTTTAAACCTGTCTGCAGGGCAGGGTACCCCCGGAAACTGCCCATTTCCCTTGTGAACAGCTCTGAGGATTAAAACACCCTTTACAGATCAACCCCCTTCCCTAAATATTCACCCACCCACTGTCACTGTAGCTTTTCCAGGATGCCTTTTTGAGTAATTGAGATAGCTATAAAACTCTCTGGAACATTCTCTCTTCTCTCAGATATAATATATTCATAAAAAGTGTTATTGTTAATTTCGCATGGATTCCATCCCTCCTACCCATCCCAACCCTGCCTGGTTCCATGGATGGTCAGTATGGCTGATTCCCCCTTTCTCTGCATGCACAGCAGATTTTAGGGATCTTATTTATCTCCATGACTTTTTGTCTTGCAAAAGCTAGCTCATCGTTGCAGCCTGAGGAGGGAAACCTGGGTTCTGATTCTGAGGTCCATTTTCTCAAATGTGCTAATCCAACCATGGCTTCTTCCCCAGGATGGCCTTCCTGGGAAGGTGTCTCCCTGGCGGGCTGCAGAGGGAGGGTGGAACTGGGTAGAGAATTAACTAGGGCAAGAGGGCTGATTCAGCCCAGGTGCCAGGCAGAGTGTAAGAGGTGAGCGTGCAGAGGGGACTGAATTGCAGTCCTGCCTCAGGAAGCTCACCACCGACTGGGACGGATACAAAGCTCCCGAGCACACTGTCCTGAAGAGAGGAGCTGATCTTCCACAGGGAGGCACAGGAGCTGCTGGAGCTGCTGGGGGCAGGGCTAGGTGGGCACCGACTCCTCCCTGACATGCTTGTTTGGCCACCCGTTCCTCTGTCAGCTTGTCTCCTGACCCCAACACGGCCTCTGAATATTTGGTGGCTGAGTCTCATATTTATGAGATGGCCTGAATGTGCTTCATAGGAAGGGGAAGGAGGGGCAGATGGGGTGGCAGCCCAGTGACCCAGAGTGGGAGGTCAGCCCAGCAGTCTCAGGGGACAGGCACCTGCATGTGGGTGCAGAGCCGAAGCGGAGCTGTCTGCAGCTCTGGGCTGGATTTCCGCCATTCACACCCCTAACCAGTGCCCGCCACCTGGGCGCCTCCACCCACAGCAGAGATTGTGTCTCTCCTGTATCACCCAGGGTCCCAGAAGGAAACAATTCAATTTGGATGGTTCAAAAGCAGCGGCCACCAGGGAAGGACCAGTTACAGAGGAATGGGCAGGGACGCAGGTGCACCCCGAGACCAGCAGCCGGCTGTGGGTGAGCCTGGACACCTCCGTGAAAGCTGAAGCGGGGGCCTGGCTGTCGGGCGGGAGAGCCCCCACCCTCAGCACACAGTCCCTATGCCT